TGTGTCTGTGTGTGTGTGTGTGTGTGTGTGTTTACCTGAAGAACACAGTGGCGCTGACGTAACTCTGGGCTTGTAGCGGTTTGCCCTGTCGAAGGTCATCAGCCACCTGTTTAGGCAGCATACCTGAAACACACACACACCTGCTGTAAAACACACAAACACACTGACACACATCACTGAAACACTCACTGATTTTTTTTATTACTGTGAATGAATCACTCTGTATTGTATAAAGCATTATAGAAATAAATGTGACTTGACTAGAGCATAGTTTAGGACCAATCAGTAATGATCACTTTTTAATGATCTTTATGATTAATTTTTTGTGTTTTGTCAATGAAGTGTCATGTATTAGATGTTTGTTGCATGTTTTACTGTAAAGCAGTCTGTCGGTCTTCTGTTTCTCCAGCATCAGATCTTGCGTCCGTTCACCGACCAGAACTTCCAGATGTTTACTGTACTTCTCCATCTACACACACACACACAGATTTGTTATGATTGTAAGGTGCGTATGTTTGTGTGTGTGGCTGATCACAGCGTGAGCATAAAAGGTAGCAGGTGCAACGCATACCAGCTTTTCACTTTGGAGCCGAGCGATAACATCGTTCTGCTCCTACCATATCTTCATTTGTGACGACGAGTTCAACACGCTCTAGGGAGTTTTTTGTGTTGGCGGACAGCACTTCAGCGGTGGTCGTTCCTGTGTCGAGTGGGTTGCGCACTTCGGGCTGCACTACCCCCTGGGTTCTCTGGGTCGTGCAATGTCCACACTTGTGGTCCAGGAACGCCATCTCTGGCTGTGTCTGGTCGACATGAGGGAGACTGACAAGACTCATTTTTTAACCTGCGTCCGCCCCCACTCCCGTGCCACATCCGCAGCAGCCTCCAGCCAAGCAGCGCCGTGGAGCCAGGCGTTGGCAGGCCGCCCCACCCGTCCAGGGCCCCGTCAAACCTGGCGGTAAGCGGAAGAGCAAGCGGCCCTGAGACGAGCGACCTAGAGATGGAGGGATCTGCCTCTCCAGAAACCTCTCACTGCCAGTTATTCTACTCCCTGACCGAGGGAATACTCGGCACGGACGCACTGGCACACAGCTGGCCGCGGGACCTGCGCAAGTATGCGTTTCCCCCAGTGAGCCTTCTCGCACAGATGCTGTGCAAGGTCAGGGAGCGCTGCGATTGCTGCTAACCATGACCCCATGGAAGGAAAGTTGGTAGGGAAGCATGACCTGGTCATCAGGTTCCTTAAGGGGGCGAGAAGGTTAAATCCTCCCCGGCCCCCCTCTATACCCTCTTGGGACCTGTCTCTAGTGCTCAAAGCACTACAGCAGGGCCCATTTAAGCCTATGCAGTCAGTTGAGCTGAAGTTTCTATAATGAAAACTCTGCTCCTGCTTGCACTGGCCTCCATCAAGAGGGTAGGGGACCTGCACGCATTTTCGGTCAACGATTCGTGCCTAGAGTTCGGGCCGGCTGACTCCCAGGTAACCCTGAGGCCCCGGCCCGGCTATGTGCCCAAGGTTCCCACTACCCCCTTCAGGGATCAGGTGGTCACCGGCCGGGTCACCGGCTCGGCTACTCCCTGACCGAGGGAATACTCGGCACGGACGCACTGGCACACAGCTGGCCGCGGGACCTGCGCAAGTATGCGTTTCCCCCAGTGAGCCTTCTCGCACAGATGCTGTGCAAGGTCAAGGAGGACGAGGAGCAGGTCCTGCTTGGGGCGCCGTATTGGCCCACTCGGACCTAGTTCCCGGAACTAATGCTCCTCGTGACAGCCTCTCCCTGGCAGATTCCTCTAAGGAAGGATCTACTGACTCAGAGACGGGGCACCCTGTGGCACCCGCATCCAGACCTCTGGAAACTTCATGTCTGGTCCCTGGATGGGACGCGGAGGCTCTAGGTGACCTACCCCAGGAGGTAGTGAACACTATCACTTCGGCAAGAGCAC